AAACAGTAATATCAAATCATGAATGAAGAAGCAAATCATATAAAATTATAAAATGAAGTAATCACTGCTGAATGCTCTGCTTATAATCACAATTAATCTTGCTATTCCATTCTTTCTCATGCTGATAAGAAAATATGACAACAAATTTTCATATTCCAACCGTTTCAAAGGTTTGTTTATTTTGAGTTGATCACTGTAAAATAATTTCTTTCCTCAGGATAACTTTCGAAATGCATATAAATTTCACTTTTCCTGGAAAAAATATTCCTGAGTCCATATTTAAAAACCAAAAAAAAGAATGTTTGACAGACAAACACAACCTCAGCTGCACTAGCTTTTAAATGAAAAGAGATCTGGGACCGCAAATGAATCAACAGCAACAAAATATGTATATATCCAAACGAAGTAAGTACAACATTTCATTACTATTATTTGAACTCAGGATTTGTGTACGAGAAATTGAGGAAAGCTTCTGGATCGATCGAAGCCAACAATGTTTTATCAGCAATTGGTGTCAAAACTGCTTTTTCCTGAGTGAAGTCTTCATCGAAATTTGATACGTCATTTGGCGTTTTCTGTAAGTGATTCAGTCTATCAGAAAGAAAAAAAAAATACAGTTGCCCGCACTACACTTTGTACGAAATTTGCGATTTTACTTGCTGCACCAAATTCAGTTACAACAGGCGCTTTGGTGCCTTGGTCTAACCCTTCAGTGAATCATCATTTCGATTCTAGGTGTTCAGCACGTCTTTTGAAACTAGTTTCGTCTGAGCAAAAGCCGCCTACTGATAAATAGTCTACTGGCTGTAGCTGACAATCGGAGCTTCCAGCAAAGCGCCACCAGCACGTGCAGCTTTCGGCGCACTTAAACTGTTTTCAACATATTCTACAGAATTTAGTTTTTTAACACCTCATTTATTATTCCGAAAAAATAAAGCTCATACCACCAAGGGTTTGAAGGGAGATGGCATCTGTCGCGCTTCATATCGTTTCCAGTCAACGCCACGGAAAAAAGAATGCGTTCGTATGGGCCCGTCCGGACATTCTGGCATCCCAAGACGAGTGTTCGGATTTCGATCAAACAACTGCAAATTACTGGAATATTCGCATCAGTTACAAAGGCTTAAAATTTTACTGGTTCTAAGAACGACGGCTAATCCGAGCTCGCGCTGAAATTTGGCAATTTCCCCCAGCCTCTGCTAAATGCGCAGAAAATCACAGTTGCTTGCATTCCAACTCACTGCTGTAAAAGGCAGCAAGTGCTTTTTATGCGTTTTTGCTTGCTGTACCAACGCCATAACGCTGTTACGTCGAGCAAAACGCATATTGCCGACAGGTTGTGTGTGTGTGTGTGCGTGTGTGTGCGTGTGTGTGTGTTTGTGTGTGTATGTATGTGTGTATGTATGTATGTGTGTGTGTGTGTGTGTGTGTGTGTGTGTGTGTCCGGAAGCGCGTCTCTCGCTTTCGAACGCACACATCTCAGCAACCAGGAAAGCTGGAAGGCTGAAATTTTGGGTGTATTTTCCTACCCCGTGTGTCATCCTCCTGTTTTAAAATTTTCGCTCAAATGCGCCTAGACCTCGCATACGGACCCCCGAAAAAATATGCAGATTTCTTTGACGGGAAACGATTTCGCGAACCAGGCAATTTACAAGGCTGAAACTTTGCAATGATATTCTCCGTGCATGTGTAAGCCAAGGATTTCAAATTTAGCTGTCGCACACGTTTGTGCAGCGCGTAGAATCACGTCAAAGTTTGCAACTTGGTATCGTGCTAACTCGAAAAGTTACCAGAAAACAGTGACTGAAATTCTGTCAGCATATATCTAAATTATATCTAAATTGAGCTCCGATTTGCGCTTGCGCCACGACATAGGGAACTTGAAAGATATTTGTAGCGAAGTGAATATTTCGTTTACCGGATAAGGTGCGATACTGAAATTTCGCTGGGATACTCTACTTTCATGTGTGGTCAAATTCTGCTTGGAGATGAAATTCCCTGCAAGTGTTTATGAGAAATACTCAACTTCACCACAAACTCAAGAAACGAGTGCACTTTGCAGCGAACGATCGCCCTCATTCTCTCCCAGCATGTAAATGAACTTATTTACATATTTGGATTTCTTGACGAACGACCACTCCAGCAACATTTCCGTTTTTCAGTGAACTGCAAATCTGCATTATTTCGAAGAGTGAGCATTTGCGAAAAAAATGACCGGAGTTCATGCAAAAAACTGATAATCATGTATCTGAAGGTCCACGCTGTCCTGCAATGCAATACCTTCATCCTAACCGACCCCTTTCTTCCGCATGCCGAAAGAGGCCAGAGCACGGCCAATATGAGTTCAGCCTGGGTTTGCAGTTTTCAGCCTGGTTTGCAGTTTTACAGAGTTTCATCAAATATTTGGCATGAATGAGATACTTCCGGAAAAAGCCACTGACAACCAGTTTGGCGTTCTAGAAGAAGTATTTAAATTTAGTGTCGACGGGTCGCTTCCAACAGTACGAGGAGTTTCTCAAATGAATCTGGTGCTTCCTTAGCTGAATTTGCTGCGCCTCGATTGGTTCGTCAGATGATATAATTCCACCACAGTTTTTCTCACAATTTTTCAGAAAGGATGCCGTCACTCCCTAGTTCCTCGAACAGCAGCGATTTCGCACAAATGCCTCACGCAAAACGGAATTCATGACTTGCACGTTCCCTGTTGTTCCGTAAGTTTCTGTGGATCCGCAAGCACTGTCAGTCTGATCAATAACAGCAAAGGAAGTTATAGAAGAACATACCGCACTCAGACATTTCGCTGCCTCTTTACCGATACTTTTTGGAAAATATGGCCTTTCATTCAAAATCGAATCAAAAAGCTCATCCTCGCCTTCTCCATGGAACGGACTCTGTCCAATCAGCATTTCGTACATCTACAGATTATCTTCTACAGAAACTTAAGCTCATAAAACACTTACATAGAAAATTGCGGGACTAATTTTTATAAATTATATCTCAGATTTTCTATTCTCATTTGCTTCACTTTTTTAATAGTTTTG